AGAGCACAAATACGAACGGAACAAAATTACCATATCCATAGAGTTATTGCAAAAAATCAGAAAACAAAAACCAACACACACAAAGTGAGGAAACTCCTCCTGAAAAACAATTATGATGCAGGAAAAACCTTAAGACAACATTTATTCTAAATGCAGCTAAATATGCTCAAATAAGCATTTAGATATGAAAAACCAACCTGAATTATAAATTGAAAAAAGGATAAAAAAATTCAATAAGAACTGAAAAGACAGTTGATTTAATTCAGGGAAGAAATGAAAGAGCTGAAAAAATTATCTTAGAAATGAGAAAAAATTACAAGGTGTTCAAGAAAGATAAGACTCAAGTGAAAATTTAATAAGAGGCATTTAAGAAAGGAAGAAAAACAACTAAGAGAATGAATGTGAATTTAGGAAAGTAGTAAAAAGACACTAGGCATGGTGGCTCATGCCTATAATCCCAGAATGTTGGGAGGCTGAGGCAGGAGGAGCATTTGAGGTCAGGAGTTCAAGACCAGCCTGGGTAATATAACGAGACCCTGTCTTTCTACAAAAAATAATAAAAATGAGCTGGTCATGGTGGTGTGCACCTATACTCCCAGATACTCAGGAGGCTGAGGCAGGAGGATGGCTTGAGCTCCGGAGTTGGAGGCTGCAGTGAGCTGTGATAGTGCCACTGCACTCCATCCAGTGCAACAGAGTAAGAGTCTGTCTCTACAAAATTGAAAGAAGTAAAAAGTGTCAGAGAGTAGTGGAAATGGAAAATAGGCAAGGAAAGAAGAGTATTTGTATCATTAGAGTCCCTGAGGAAGAAAAACATCAATGGAACAGAATTAATATTTAAAACTATAAATAAGAAAACTTCCGAATTAACAACAAAAAGACCTAAATCTATATAACCAAAGAATGTATCAGGCACCTGGGAAACTTAATCCAGAATGATGAACTCTGAGACATTTTCTAGTAAAATGATTAGATTTTAAAGATAAAGAAAAATATCCTTAATAAATCAATAAATATCAATGTGCTTAACTCACCTATTTTTTAAAAAAAAAGATTTTCAATTTGGCACAAATCAAGACAAACTAAATGCTGTATACAAGAGGCACACCTAAAACAAAGAGATTCCAAAAGGTTAAAACAGAGATGGAAACATGCATACTAGACACATGGAAAAATAAAGAAGCAAGGAAATAACTAATTAGAATCCAAGTCCGCAAAACATTAAGTGTGTCAAAGCAGGGTACCTTTTAATGCTAAAAGTCACAATTCATAGAGAAGGTGGAATACTTATTGGACGCACCAAATAACAGGGCAACTATCTTTACGAAATAAAACTATAAAAGTTGCAAGGATAGAAACACAGTAATGTTTCTTTAGTGAGACTTTAACAATCACTCCATACAAGACAGGTCTAGAGGACAGAAAAATTAATTAAGGATGTAGCAAACCCAAACAACACAATGAGTGAAACCTATGGACACACAGGCACACCTCATTTTATCGTGCTTGACTCTATTGCCTTTTGCAGCTGTGATTCTTTACAAATTGAAGGTTTGTGGCAACTCTGCGTTGAGCCATCTATTGAGACCATTTTTCCAACAGCGTGTGCTCACTTCATGTCTCTGTGTCACATTTTGGCAATGTTTACAATATTTCAAACTTTTTAAAGATTATTATATCTGGTATGGCGGTCTGTGATCAGTGACCTTTGATGTCACCACTGTAATTGTTTTGGGGCACCATGAACCACACCCACATAAGATGCCAAACTTAACCAATAAATGTGTGTGTTCTGACTGTGCCACACGCTGGCCATTCCCCCGTCCCTGTCTCTCTCCCTGCCCTCCCACCTCCTGTTCCCTGAGACACAACAGTATTGAAATTAGGCCAATTAATAACCCTACAATGACCTCTAAGTGTTCAAGTGAAAGGAAGAGTCATGTGTCTCTCACTTTAAATAAAAAACTAGAAATACTTAAGCTTGGTGAAGAAGGCATGTCAAAAGGTGAGCTAGGCCAAAGCCAAGCCTCTTGGGCCAAACAGCCAAGTGTGAATGCAAAGGGAAAGTTCTTGAAGGAAATTAAAGGTGCTACAACATGAACAATAAGAAAGTGAAAACAGCCTTATTGCTGATATGGAGAAAATTTTAGTGGTCTGGGCAGAAGATCAAACCAGCCACAACATTCTCTTAAGCCAAAAATTAATGCAGAGAAAGGTCCTAACTCTTTTCAATTCTATGAAGGCTGAGAGTGGCGAGGAAGCTGCAGAAGCTAGAAGCTAGCGGAGGCTGGTGCATAAAATTTAAGGAAAGAAGCTGTCTGTATGACTACAGGTGCAAAGTGAAGCAGCAAGTGCAGATGTGGAAGCTGCAGCAAGTTATCCAGAAGCTCTAGCTAAGATCACTGATGAAGGTGGCTGCATTAAAGAACAGATATTCCATGTTCTTCCTTCTTTGGGGAGACAATGCCATCTAGACTTTCCTAGCTAGAGAGGAGAAATCAGTGTCCGGCTTCAAAGCTTCAAAGGACAGACTCCTGTTAGGGGCTAATGCAGCTGGTGACTTTAAGTTGAAGCCAGTGCTCATCTACCATTCCCAAAATCCTAGCACCCTTAGGAATGATGCTAAATCTACTCTGCTTGTGCTCTAGAGATGGAACAACAAAGCCCGGGTGACAGCACATCTGTTTACAGCATGGTTTTCTGAGTATTTTAAGCCCACTGATGAGACCCACTACTCAGAAATAAAGATTCCTTTCAAATATTACTGCTCATTAACAGTGTATCTGCTCGCCCCAGAGCTCTGATGGAGATGTACAAGGAGATTATGTTGTTTTCATGCCCATTAACACAACGTCCATTCTCCAGCCCATGGATCAAAGAGTCATTTCATGAGGCTATAGCTGCCATAGATGGTGATTTGTCTGATGGACCTGTGCAAATCATACCGAAAACCTTCTGGAAAGGATTCACCATTCTAGATGCCATTAACAACATTCACGATTCATGAGGGAGTCAACATATCAACATTAATAGGAGCTTGGAAGAGGTTGATTCCAACCCTCATGGATGACTTTGAGGGGTTCAAGACTTCATTTGGAGGAAGTAACTGCAGATGTGGTAGAAATTGCAAGAGAACTAGAAGTGGAGCCTGAAGATGTGACTGAATTGCTGCGATCTCGTGATTAAACTCTAGTGGACGAGGAGCTGCTTCTTACGGATGAGCAAGGAAAGTGGTTTCTTGAGATGGAATCTACTCCCGGTGAAGATGCTATGAACACTGTTGAAATGACGTTTAGGATATTCCATAAACTTAGCTGATAAAGCAGTGGCAGAGTTTGAGAGGATTGACTCCGATTTTGAAGGAAGTTCCACCATGGGTAAAATGCTATCGAACATCATCGGATACGACATCGAAATCTTTAGTGAAATGAAGAGTCGATTGATGTGGCAGACTTCATTGTTGTCCTCTTTTAAGAAATTGCCACAGCCACCCAGCCTTCAGCAATGACCACCCTGATCATTGGCAGCCATCGACATCCAAGTAAGAACCCCACCAACAACAAGATTACGACTTGCAAAAGATGATCGGATGATCAGCGGAGTTTTTAAGCAAGAAAATATTTTTCAAATTAAGGTATGTACATTCTTTTTTTTAAGATATAATGCTATTGTTCACTGAACAGACGACAGTATAGCGTAAACATAACTTTTATATGCACTGGGAAACCAACACATTTGTGTGACTTGCTGTATTGCGGCGGTCTGGAACCAAACCTGCGATATCTCTGAGGTACGCCTGGATACCACACTCTACACCTGGTAATAGAAAACACACCTTCTTCTCAAGTGCCCACGGGACAGTCACAAAAAGTGTTTAGAAGATCAGTAAATTCCATAAAGTAGAAGTATTGCAGACAACGCTCTCTGATCACAATGTAAAAATGCTAGAAATTACTAACAGAAACAAAAGGGCATCTCCACATGGAAACTGGAAATCTTCCTAGAAACAAGGCCTGGGCGCCAGGAGCTTGTGCGAGCCTACTTCCTGTGGCTCCTGCGCTTTAGTGAAATCGGAGGCAAGGGTGGCAGCTGGGGGCCAGGGACCTGCGGTGTGTGCAGGGTGGACCCTGTGCTGGAGGAAGGAGGTGGGCGAGGACAGGTGGGGGAGGTGAGAGGTGGGCAGAGCAGTGGGCTGCAGGGCCGTGGCGCGGGAGTGAGCTGGGAGGTGGTTGGAGGTGGTGCGGAGATGCTGGAGGCTGGTGATGACCACGAGGAGGGCATGGCTGTGGGAGCGGCAGCTGGGAAGGGATGGAGGACAAGGTGGCTGGGAGAGAGGAGATCCAGGCTCAGAGAAGTCAGGAGGGAAGGAGGGCAAGATCCCCAAGAGTCCAGATGGTGGACTGAGCGAGAGGGTGTCCCTGACCAAGAGCTACCTCTTCAAGGAGTGAGGGGTGACCTGGGGTGGCTGTGTGGTGGACGGGTGGCAGGTGGCATAGACCAAGGACCTAGGGTTCAGAGCTGGGATTTTACGGAGGTAGGGCTGTGAGCAGTGCCGAGGACCCTAGCCCACCTCTTGGCCTGGGGTTTCCAGGGCTGTGGGAGAGAAGCCAGCCCTGCCTGAGAGGATAGTGGTGGCCCATGGGGATTGTGGGGGTCCTTGGAGGAGCAGGAAGAAGAGAATTCTGGAGGATGAGGATGAGACAGAGGGGTCTTTGTTGATGGGTGGTGAGGCTTTGGTGTTAGCTGGGGTCTTGTGGGAGCACCCCGGGTCCTGAGCCCCTTCTCTATCAGGTGACAGGGGGGGTTGAGGCTGGGGCAGGGTGATTCATGGGGAGCATGGACGGGACAACGGTGAGCAGCGCCCAGCCCAGGAGGTGTGAGATACCCTAGCAGGTGTGGGCTCCCTCCCTGCACCCAGCCCTAAGCAGCCAGGAGGGCAGAGGTCCCGAACCCTGCTTGGCAGAGGATGGAGGGGGTGTGGGGCAAGGCGGGGCTGGCACCTGTCCAGGGGGATGGAGAAGTCCAGGAAGGTCGCCACCAGCTCGGGGATGTGGCTCCGGGCCAGCAGGGTGATGGCGCGCAGGGTGTTTTCCTTGGCTTGGGGGATGCGCAGAGAGCAAAGGCGGAGGTGGATGGCCCGGCCCATGTTGGCCACCTGTGTGTGGAAGGGACGGTCTGAGGGAAGGCCTGGCATGCCCTGGGAGCCCCAGTGGGGCAGATGGGGGGCCTTTCTTGCCCTGATGAGCATGAAGCCCCTTGAGTTACAGTCCTGCCTTAGGCAGTCTGACAGAGGAGGCACTGCCTGCCCTGGATGCCTGGTCTAAAGGGTGTCCTGGTCTGAGGGAAGCAGGTCCCCACAGCTTGCATGGCGTTTGAGGTCCTCATACTCTGATCCAACTGCCCAGTCACTAGAAGGTTCAGACATGGTCCCCCTGAATGTTGCTCCTCTGTACCCGCCGCTCCGGCGACCAGAGAGCCTCCTGCCTTCTGCGTGCCAGTCTGGCTCATCCTGACCCGGGCGCAGTACCCCAGCAAGCCCGCCAGTCTGCAGTCTGGCATCAGGCAGCCTCGTGCTGGGGCACACCCTGCCCACCCCCGGGTCCCCCCTTGGCCTTTGCATCTGCCATGCTGTCCTGCTGACTCCTGCCTGCGTGTCTGCCACCCACATAAGATTGCACCTCCATGAGAGTCTGGTCTGTGTCCTCCCTTCCTCCCCACGCCGCCCCCACATCAGGGCCTGCAGCAGCTGCCGGATCAAGGTGTGTGTGCCCCATGACGCCACAGTCACCACCCAGGACCCGGAGTGCTTGTGTGGCCCCTCCCTCATTCATGCATTCAGACTGGTTGCTGCCTAGGTGGGACCTGTGTCCCCCATATCACGCCCAAGGCTCTGAGCCCCTAGAGGCTGACTGCTGGACCCACCCCCCGCCCCAGCCTGGCCCTTCGCGGGTACCCCAGCGCCCTCACGGTCTGCAGCTTGACCCCATGCTCCTCGACCACAGCAAGTAGCATCTCGGCAGCTGCCTGCACGCGGAAGGGGCTGCTGGAGCCCAGGCTGTTGATGGCTGTCCAGAGGACGTTATTCAGCTCCGTCATCGTGAGATGCTGTGTGATCTCCTGCAGCAGTGGGGGTGGGCAGAGCCCGTCACTCTGGGCCCCTGTGCCGGCACCTGCCTCCCCCACTTCTGTGTCACCCCTTCTCCTCTGCCCCAGCTCCCAAGTCTCTGGCACATCCAGCCTTCCGAGCACTCTCCAGGTCCCCAAGCACATGCCCAGTGATTTTCAGCCTACCATTTCCACGTATCTCATAGCCAACCATGGCCTAGGCCTTTTTTCCTCACTCAGACCCTGAACTTGTCCCAAGACCCAGGTAGCCCAGCCAGCCTCCTCTCCTCCTCTCATAGGCCTTCCTCATCTGCCAGCCTCAGCCAGCAGTGCTCCCCGACTGCCAGCCCCTGTTCTCCTTATGAGCATTTTAACCAAAGAGAAAGTGAACTTCATAGCTGTGAAGGATCTTCAAGGTCATCTGCACCAACCCCAGGCCCAGAAAGTGCATGAGCTGCCCTTGGCCATGGAGCAATGTGGAGGTGGTGGGTGAGGCTGGGTCTGGGACTCAGGGCCCCTGTACCTACAGCAGGGCCACTCCAGGACCCTGACTCTGCTCTGCGTGCCAGGAGCAGCTCTCAAGGTCCAGAGAGAGGGGGTCTCACCTCCACGACCAGACCATGAGCTGCTCAGGGGTTATGGGGCTCTTGGGGAAATGCAAGGTGGTGGTTCTGATCCCTGCCTCACAGCCTTAGACTGCAGCCTCCTGGAGGGAGGTCCTGGGCCAGGTCACTGCTGCACAGGCGGGAACCTTCTGGAAAGATTGTGAGCATTGCTGCCACCAGCCACATGTAGCTATCTAAATTTACATTTAATTAAATAACACTAAAAACTCAGTTCCTCAGTGGTACTAGCCATATTTCAAGTGCTCAAAGCTCCATGTGGGCAGTGGCTGCCTTGGATAGCATAGAGATGGGATACATCCATCCTCCCGGAAAGTCCTGTTGGACAGTGCGGATTCAGCATCTTCCAATCAGGAGAAGTTAGGATGCTGATGCCAGAGAGATAAGAGGGATGCCTGATAGAAAATTATGACTTTGCAAGGATGTTAGGATGGTAAAATGCTTCCTTACATGTTAGGTTATTTGTTGCCATGTTTGAAAGTCTGTTAGGATGTTAGAATATAAAAATAGTGTTAAATAATGGATATATGGATATTTATTTGAATGTTATAATTCTAAAATTTGGTACAATGTGAAAATGTTAGGTTATTAGTATGTTGGTTAGAATGTTAAAGTAATTTTAATGGAAACTTTGTAGTTTGTAACAACTTTGCTTTTGGAATATTAGGCTATATAAATCTGGTTAGAACATCTGTTATAAGATTAAATTTAAAATTGTTTGCTGGAATGTTAAACTTCTGCTTAGAGTTTTAGCATTTAGAATGTTTATGAAGAAATTCAACTTGGAATGGTGGTTAGACTCTTGGAATCCCAGAATACTACAATCTCAGAATTGAAAACGATTTTTGAGGTGTCTTACTTTAATCAAGGGCATGAATAAATATGAAATGGAGGTGGCAGTGGTGATAGGGAGGATGGTGTAGGGTCATAGTAATGGTGTAGTGATGATGGTGCAGTCATGGTGATAGTGTGGTGATGGCAAAGGGGCTGTTGGTGGTGGTGGTGGTGATGGTGATGGTGGTGGTGGTGATGGTGATGGTTGTGGTGGTGATGGTGGTGGTGGTCATGGTGATGATGGTGATGATGATGGTTGTGGTGGTGATGGTGGTGACGGTGGTGGTGGTCATGGTGATGGTGGTGATGATGATGGTTGTGGTGGTGGTGGTGATGGTGGTGGTGGTCATGGTGATGGTGGTGATGATGATGGTTGTGGTGGTGGTGGTGGTGATGGTGATGGTGGTCATGGTGATGGTGGTCATGGTGATGGTGGTGATGGTGATGGTGATGGTGGTGGTGATGGTGGTGATAGCAGTCATGATGATGAAGTAATAAAGAGTTAGGAACAAACTTGGGACCAGAACCAGGCCAAAGTGTCTGTTCTCCAACACAACCCTTGCCACATCTGCCATCCCATGATTAGCAGATACTCTAATCTTCCCTCTCATTACTCCCATCTCCGCAGGGAAAGCCCGAATTAGACCCCTGTGTGAAGGGACCACACAGGCTGGAGCAGGCTGCCCCTTCCCAGGTCCTGGACTCTATGCTCCTAGTCACTGAGACCCCCTGAGGGCCCAGGTGCTCTGAGGTCCTTCACTGCTGATCCCACGGAGCTGGCAGCCAGTGAAGCCCTTCCCGCCCTACCCTGCCTCTGCCCCGGCTCTTCAACTGCAGCCAGGCCAAGTGCTCCCCTGCTGGGCAGAGACAGTGGATGTCTTGGCCCCAGGGCTTTAGATTTTCCACACTACAGTTCTCCAGATGGGCCTCAGCACTCTGACAGCTCACTATGGCTGCTAATAGCAGGGGTTCTGGAGTCAGTTGGGACCAGATCAAGTGCCACAGGGGCACTGACTAGCCATGTGCTGCTACTTCTTCATCATTTGGTTCAATTTGGCCCAATTTCATGGGTGTTTATGGAAGGCCAGCTCTACCACCAGGCCGTAGTAGACCCCACCTCCAGCCTGGAGTGTTCAAGGTCTAGCAGGGACTGAGAGCCAAGTGCAGGGGTCTTTGTTAGCCAGGGTTCAACACCGACCATGGGCAGACAAAGGTCACCATCTCAGAGGTGACTCTGAGGAGGCTCCGTGAAGCGTCGCCCCACGTCCGCCTCGCCCTGAGCCTCATGTTCAGAAGATAATACAATTCAAATCACAGCACGAGGGGGGGGGCTGCAATGGGGGACGGGAACAGTGCAGGGAAAGCTGGAAGAGTTTGGTAATGTCTATGAAGCCCCTGGAGGATGGCTGGCGCCCAGCGAGTGCTGGCTCCACTTGGACAACACAGGAGAGAGGGGGCGAGTTTATCCCCCACCCCCAGATACAGGGGTGTGCTCTGGCCACGCCCCCACCTGGCCCTGCCCACGACTCTAAGGGCTTTGACCTTGATGACTTCGGAGCTGCTGAGCTGGAAGATGTGGTCTTTCTCCTTTGGGAACGCCATCTCCTGGGAGTGTGAAGGAGTGGCCCTCTGGTCCCCGCTGCCCCAGACGGGGGCTCCATCCTCAGTGGGTTGGGAGAGCGCCTTGGGGCTCTGAGATTCTACCTGTGGGGCTTCCCCTGTTGGCCAGGGGCAGGGTGGAGTGAGCGCCGGGCAGCAGTGGGCTTGGGGCCTAGTTGGGGCAGGGCAGAGTTAGGGTAGGGTCATTTGAATCACGGTCAGGCCTATGCCCCAGTTTGGAGACGGGGCTCAGGGTGAGGCCATTGTAGAGTTATAGTTCAGGTCAGGGTGTGTTTGTGGACAGATTTGGGGCAAGCTTGAGTCTAGGGGGTGCTGGTATGGGTCTGCCTGAGGCTGTGGTGGGAGATGGGTGAGCCATGGAGGCCGGGAGGCTCACCTTTCTGGTACGTCAGGAGCTTGTAGAGATGGCCCATCCCTTCTAGGCTGGAGCGCTGGGTGGCCCTGTCTGGGTCCCCGCAGAGGATCCCCAGCATGCCCACCAGCTGCCCAATCCGCTTGAAGTTCTCCTTTGGCTGTGGGGAGAGTGCAGGGAGCCACTCAGCAAAGCCACCCCCAGAGTCCCCGCCCACCATGCGTCACCCCAGCACCGCTACGTCAGAAGTGATCGCCCCAAACTGTGTGGCAGGGCCGGGACAGGGGTCTGGGCAAAATATAAGGAGTTGCCTAAACCTCAGAAATCAAGGGAAATAATATTTTAATGTAATATTGAGAAAAATCAAAAGAAATGCAAAAAACTCCAGAATGAACAAAGTCTCAACATTTTTAGCAAAGACAGGACCTGACCCTGCACTTGCAATGACGGCGCCTCACTGGCCTTACCCTAATTCTGGCCCTGGTGCCAATAAAACGGTATTTACACATACAAGTGGCCTACCCCTGGACCGTAGTTTGCTGAATTGATTTTTATTTATTTATTTTTTATTTCTTTTTCTTTTTACTGAGTTGATTTTTAAAAACATCACATTAAAATATGATTTATCTTGATTATGGATTTTTTGATGCTCCTGGAATTTTGCTCCCAAGGCAACTACTTTGCTTGCCTTATCCCGGCAAGCGGTGTGGAAATGAACTTTGAGTGAATTGAAACCACTTTGAGCCCATCCAGAGGGATCCTCCTCCTCGGAGTGCAGTGGCTTTCCCGTGACAGAATGATCCCTACACCCCCCTTGCGCTCTGCCTCCTGCCTCATTGGACCAGGCAGGCGGCTGGGCAGCAGGGAGAGGAACCCACTCCCTTGTCTCCCGGCTCTCCCTAAGGCGTTGATGCTGGTCTGGGCTCTCCGCACCTGCTGATGTTCATGCAACCCCAGGGCAACAGCCACAGTTTGGGGTTAGTGGGGACCAAGAAATGGGGGGCCCGCCCTGGGGTATGGATGGGTGGGGGCATGGCAGGCCCCCGTTCTGGTGCAGGCCTCACAGCTGAGGGGCCCTCTCAGCCTCTACCTCTTCTGGCTCCCACCGCAGCCCTCTGAGGAGAAGTCATTTCCGTCCATTTTCAGGAGAGAGGTGAGAGCCTGAGGCTTCAACAGGAGAAACACCTGCCTGAGGCCTCAAGGTGCATGGACAAGAGCGCAGCCTCCTGGGTCATGGTCAGGGCCAGCTGGGAGGCCTTGAACAGCTCTTCTCCTCTACCCTCAGCCTCTTTCCCCATGTGGAAAGAGGGAGACCACCTGAGCATCCACCAGCCTGAGCCCAGAGGGGGCTGCAGGGGACTCAGGGACCCACCCTGTCCTGGAGGCAGGTGCACAGGGGCCTTGAACCCCATGAGGCCCGGCAGGCTCTGGGAGGAGGGTGGCTCTGGTCAGCCCCTGGGCTCCAGGGGAGGGGCCCCACCAGTGCAGGGGTGTGGGTGTGGGGTGCCGAGCTGGGTACTCACGTCCAGGTGGATGTTGTGCCTCAGGAATTTGAGGAGGCTGGTGCAGCTGCTAACAGCCCGCTGCCGCTCGTGTGCCTTCTCCGATGCCAGCCAGATGTACATGTGCTGCGGGTGGGCAGGGGCAGGGAGTGGGGTGCGGGGCGGTGCTGTAGCAGGGACTCTGGCCTCACCCACCATCAGCCAGGCCACACCCATAGGCCCAGGCCCCATCCGCCTGGGCTCCACCCTCCGGCGGGCTCTGCCCCCTGGCCTTCCCTGTCCCTCTGCCAATCCTGCTGCACCCAGGCAGTACCACCACAGGAATGGTCATCGTTTTCTCCTTTTGTAGCTGATACATCCCCTCCTGCTCAAAGCCCTTTGAGACTCCTGGTTCTTAACTTGTTCTGTGCCATGCACCCCCTTCAGAATAGTGCTTTTCCATGCACAAAATATGTGCATAGCATTACAACGGAATACAAAGGCATCTTGAAACAGTTATGTAGAATAGTGTTAAGCTAAATCTGAGCCTCTTTTTAAAGGCGATATAGGATTAGAGTTTTGATTCTGAAGTGGGTTGAGGATGTATGGTATTTGGAGATTCTGCAACCCAGTGATGTCCCAGAGAAACATCTGTGACATCACTAGTGGCATCCCCTGCCACTCCTGATACAGCCGTGGTCTGTGTCTGGCATTCCCAGGGGATGGACATGCTACCTTGCGGCTCAAGGTGAGGAACCTGCAGATGGCGTTTCCTCCTGTGTTCCTGCCCCCTGACTTCCGCCTGGGCACCCAGGTCGGGAGCCTCGCCTCACCCCCACCTACCTGCTTGACGAGGCCCCCAAGCCTGCTGAGGTTCGGCCCTTGCTTGCCCTAGCCTCACCATCTCCCGAGCCCCGCTCCCCTCTGCGCCCTCCCCTCTGCAGTGCTTGGAGCCCCCTCCACTCTCCTGCTGGCCTCATCCGTACTGCTCACCTTGCCCTGCCCTGCCTCCTCCCAGGGGACCCTGCCCATCCCTTCTCTGCCCAGGATGCCTCACTCCTCACTCAGGGCTCCATGGTGAAGTCCAGCTGGCTTTGAGCTCTGACCTTCCTGCATAACCAGCCTCCTCTCCTTGGGCCCTGCCCCCACCCCATCTGGCACCCTGCATCCTCACCGACAGCAGGAAGTGCAGCTCCTTGTGCGTGGGGTTCAGTGTGATGAAGCTCTGCAGCATGTGGTCCAGCGCCTCCGCAGTCTTGTTGAACAGGGCCTGTGCAGAGGTGAGGGGCGGCTGAGGCCACACCAAGCCCGGGGTGGACTGAGGGCCAGGGGCTGCCCCAGGGCCCGAGTGGTGCCCACCGCCTGCACACACTAGGCTGCCCCCCATCAGAGCTCATCCCCTGCCCACAAAGGGGCCGTCACGTTCCCCATTAGGCAGACGTGGACGCTGGGCAGGGAAGCGTGTGGGATCACCGAGGGGCACAGATTTCTCAGTGGCCCAGGGGAGGCCCAGCAGGGCTGGCTTCAAGGCGGGTGACCAGGGCAGTCCCTCAGGGCCCTGGGCTCAGAAGAGCCCTGCACTGGGTTAATGTTCTGCTGTCACCATCTGGAAATCCTTAGCAATTTTTAACAAGGGCTGGCATTTTAATTTGCACTGGGCCCTGCCAGTGTTGCAGCCGGCTCTGGTTGCTGGTCTCACACCCCGGGACCCCAGTCTTTACTGGTTTGCTTTCCACATGCATGCGGGGAGGTAGGGAACCTCAGAAATACCCCTGTCTATCCTCCCATCCAAGCCTCACCTGGAGCAGAGCCCTGGGGCTCTGGCCACTCCCTGTTTGGGTGACCTGGGAACTCTCTCCCCCTCTCTGAGCCACTTCCCTCACCTGAGAAGAGCATGAAGCCAGCCTCACTTGCTGGGTAGAGGCTGGCAGTGGGTGGGCGTGGGCAGGAGCCCCGCCCCATGCTCCCAGCTCCCAGCACGGGAACCCTGGCACCTGTGGCACTCTCTGGGTGAGCTAGCCGCAGTGTCACTGTGTTAGTGGGTCATGGGGCACTCTGGACTTATGTGGGGTTGCGGTGGGGGCAGACACCACCCTTCTGGAGGGCTGTGGCTGTGGTGTTGTCCTGGGCCCAGGGCACCCGTCTCTCTCTCATCACCCCATCCAAAGTGCGTCCAGTTCCAGCTTGAACTCAGCCTGGGGAGGGGGCAGGTGTGGGGTTCAAACCCTGACTTTTCCACCAGACAGCTTCATTTCCCTGAGCCGGTTTCCTCACCCTTGGGTCACTACTGGGAAGGTGATGTAAAGTATCTAGAGGGGCTGGCACATAGTAGGTGCTCAGTTAATACCAGCTGCCCTGCCCTTTGCAGCAGGCACTCAGAGGCTGAGTACAGAGACTGTACCCTGCGAGCCATACGCGCCCCCTAGTGGTGACAATGTGGGCGGCCGGCCAGGGGCGCTGGCAGCAATCGCAGAACTTCCTCCAGCCTCCCAGGGGTCAGGGTGGGCTGGGCGAAGCCTGGGTGGGGGATGACCAGCTTGAGTAGCTGGGTGGTAAGACTGAGCCCACCCTCAGGGAAGGTGACTTGCCCCAGGTATTACAAGGACTTCGTGGCTGAGTTGGGTCTCTTGGACCTCTGTGAGATTAGGGAACTCATCCCTTAGAGAGAGTTTTCCCCCGTCCTCTCTGCTTCCCGTGGGCTGCTGGGGAGCTTGGAGAAAAACTCCAGCCTGGTCTGCCATGTAGCATGTTGGCGGAGACCTGCAGGGCTGAGCAGCACAACTCACTCTCAGGTCAGCAGAGGGAGGGAGGCCAGGCTACTGCCACGCACAGAGCACCCCTCCCCGCCAGGCACTGCTCCCAGGGGCTCCTTTCAGCCGCCTGGTGGTCGATGCAGTCAGTTCTATCGACATCATCCCCGTCACAGGTGGGCAAACACGCAGGTGCTCCAAGCAGCTAAAAATCAGTCCAGGGTCCCCCAGCCTGGGGTGTGGGGTGATGGCAGGGACCCTACTGGTCTAGCCCGCCCTTCCCAAGCCGTGAGCAGCAGGCAGAGCCCGGTGCCCTGCTAGAGAGTCCTCTCTTGGCTCAGGGCGCAGGTGTGGGGGCCGCACCTCTATATTGGGCGGCTCCAGAAAGAGACAGGTGTGTTTCTCCAGGGTCTCCAGCGGTGGCAGAGCAAACACGCTGCGCAAGCAGGTGGAGAGCAGCTGCGATTTCTTGTCCAAGTTCAGGGGTGGCCTCAGATTACTGTTGGGAAGACAGAGGGTGGTGAGCCTGGGGAGGGGCCCGTGAAACCAGCCCGTGAGCCCCAGGCAGCGCCTGCCTTGCTGGCATCCAGCAGACTCCCAGCCTTCTGCTGTGCACGCGGCCGCCTGCCCAGCCCTGCCCTGCGCCTGTGGTGAGCTCCTGGCCACGCCTCCTTTCAGTCCCTGGCCCTAAATAGCTCCTTGGTGCCGATGACCCCAACTTTGCGTCTCCAGCCTGGGCTTTGTCCCTGAACTCCAGGCTCACGTCACCAGCTGCCCACTGCTTCTCACTTGATGTCTAAGCAGCGTCCCAACCTCGGCCCAGACCACAGTGATGGCCATGCCTCCTCCTCGCGGCTCGGGGCACAGGCCTCGGCACCGTCTCAATTCCTTTCCCTCCCCCACAGGCTGCGCTTAGTCCTCCAGCAGGTCTTGACACTCTACTTCACAATTTATCCAGGATTTAAGGACTTCTTACTATTGAAATAAGAATACTATACCTATTGCCTTTCTCCTAGACTAGGGGGTCCTGACTGGACCCACATTTCTTCTGCTGGAAGCACCATCTACTCCCCACACTGAGGCCAGACATTCCTTCTCAAATGTAATCCCCCAAAAGCCCCATCTGTGGTGGTCTGCACGACCCTCCCCTGACTCCTGGGACCTCATCCATCAGTCCTCGCCTTTCACTCATTGCCTGAAGCCACCCTGGCCTCCTTGCTGGTCATCCAGGTATGCATTAGCCACAGGGCCTTTGCACTCACCATTCCTTCAGCTGAGCACGTGCAAGGCTCGTGATCTCACCCTTTCAGGCCTTTGCCCCAAAGTCCCCTTTCAGGGCAGCCTCATACAGCCTCAGGCTGTGTCCCTCATCTACTCTCAACCGTGAGGATTTCACATCCCCTCCCTGGTGCACTCCCCCCACCTTGTCTTCCTTCTGTGCCTGTGTCAGCCCTGCTGTGTGTGGTTTGCTTACTGTCTGTCCCCTCTCCCTGAGTGTCAGCTCTCGGAGAACTGGGACGTTCCCTGCTGGCGCAAGGCTGGTTCCTCAGAACCCAGAATGGTGTCTGGCACATAGCAGGTGCTCAACTTCTGCCTTCCCCCACCTTGCTGTGCGGCCAGCACCAAGCCCTGGCAGAGAGGCTGCTGTGACGTGCTGCCCTGCGTGGGGCCGGGGGCTTACCAGAGGCTGCAGATGATGTGCAGGGTCTGCTGGCGACTCTGCGTGCACAGGGTGTCCTGGGGCTCCTTCTCCATCAGAACCTGCAAGTCCCAGGTGATGGCTGAGCCACTCAGGCCTGGCCCATCCCACTTACGACACTAGGTCTCATTCGCCCAAAGACCTCAGTGCCTGGCAGCCCCGGGAACCACAGCCTTTTGCTCCAGCCCCTCATCCACCAGGGGGGCCTCTGTGAGCTGGCCCTGCCTAAAGAAGCAGGGCAAAGACCAGAGTCAGATGGGTCCGGTCTAAATCCTGGTTACCCCGTCCTAGCTGCACGGCCTTGGGCAGGTCTCCAAACTGCTCTGAGACTCGACTACTCATCAGTAACACTGCCTTGTTGCACGCGTGTTACACAGAAAGCAAGGCGTGCAGAGCAGTGTCTGGGTCCCCTCAGGAGTCAGGTAATGTTTTTATTAGTATGGTTGTTATGGTTATTGTAACTAACTGCCCAGTCACGCCTGTGTTTCCTCCACCGCCCTGGGGGACCCGCAGAGGCACCGCGATGGTAGTAACCAGCCTGGGCCCTCCACGAGGTCAGCACGTGCCCAGTGGCTGGCGCTGGCCTTTCTGACCTCAGCTGCACCCCCTGTGAGGTGGACGTAGCCAGCTCATGGTGCCTGTAAGAATAAAGTGACGTGGGGGACATGCATGTGCCCCAGGTGCAAAAGCCTGTGAGGGACTTGGGCACGCTTTAGAAACCCATGCCCCCGCCCTCCCCCTGCGGGGCTCTGAGGGAAGTGCCCTCCTCACCCGCCCCTGCCCGGCCGCCACGCACCATCAGACACTGCAGCAGCTCGGGGACCTGGGAGAACTCATAGCTGTGGGCGCCCTCGCCCCGGCTGATGGCGGCCGTGAGCATCAGGACGGCGGTGAGGAAGCTCTGCTTCAGGGTCTCATCCTGGCAAGAGGTGGGCCGGGGCAGTGGGGACAGCGTCAGGGACTAGAGCGTGGGGTGCGCAGGAGAAAGTGAGGGCAGGGGGCCGTGACCCGAGGGCAGCAGGGGCAATGCTGAAAGGGGGTGCGGCAGGGAGCGCCAGCGGGGGGCCCAGGTGAGTGTGGGGGGCGGGTGTGCATGGTTTTGTTTAACAAATGTGGATAAGTGGAAAGGTTTAAACACTAGGAGGGTGCCTGAAAGTCTCTCTAGACGTGGGAGCCCCGAGCCCCAGTGCCACGGCAGCGGTGACCTGGGGCTGCGCTGTGGCCGCCGGGGCAGAAGCAGCCCTGTGGGGCCCTCGTAGCGATCTGGGTCGGAGGCCCCTGGAGCAGAGTGTGGAGCCAGGGGCTTGTCACAACACGGCATGACAGAGTCCCCCCAGCCTGTCCATACCCAGCCCCCCGTGCCCCAGAAGGGAAACCCGTGGTTTGCTCTGAGAGGAGACGTTGGGGCAGTGGCCATCCCGAATGCCCAGGGAGCTTCGGTGGACAGCAGGGAGGGGCAGCCAGGAAGCTGGCGGGAGGCCGCGGCTCCGAGGCCCTGGGGGGCCCAGAGTGCCCGACTCTGGTGTGCTGGTGGACCTGCAGGGGCTGGGTCCAGACTCAGTCCCGGGGGACGCGGTAGGGTGCGGGGACGCTCCAGAGGGCAGCCCGGCCCGTACCCAGGAGCTGTACTGGAAGTAGAAGATCATCCGCGACAAGATGTTGTCCACCCAGGGCAGGATGTGGGCCCTGGCCCTGGCGGCCACCTGGCCGTACGCGAGGAGCATGGTGCTGCTGGCCCATTTCCACCGCAGGTCCTCCAAGTTCTGGCCGCGGGGGCGGGGGCAGATAAGGAGTGTCAGGGCCCTGTGGACCTCTCCTGTGGGGGCGGTGAGCAGAGGTCCCGGCCCATACCTTCTGGGAGAAGCTGTGGAGGCTCCACTTGATGGGTGCGCTCCGGCCAAACTGTTCCAGAATGGCCCAGACATCATCCAGGTGTTGGACTGCGGCCAGCCCCAGTGTGAGAGCGATGCCCTGTGTGAGCAGGGCACCAGGGCCACTGATGAAGGGGCTGCAGGGCCACAGGACTAGGCCTTGCCCCTCACCTGGCAGGTGTGAAAACTGAGGCCCAGGTGGGTCTGGGGACTCATCCAGGATCACAGGGCATCCACCCCCACCCCCACCCTTTAGGACAGGGGTCCCTAAACTTTTTAAAAAGGGGGGCAGTTCACTGTCCCTCAGACTGTTGGAGGGCCATTGGAGAGTGCGGCGCACATTCCACACATGCGCACTGTGGGCCTGGGACAAGTTGGCTGCTGAGCAGGACAGGCAGTGGCAGCAAAAACACCCGGAGGGCCGGATAAATGTCCTCGGTGGGCCGCATGTGGCCCGTGGGCCGTAGTTTGAGGACGCTTGGTTTAGGACATGCAACTTGGAGCCCAGCAGTGGGGCATCTCTCACGGGGACTGGTGGGGCTGAGGGGAGGCAGGAGGCAGAGGTGGACCCCTGGGGGCCCGTCATCCTTCTCCGCCAGCTCCGAGCAGACCTGTGCCAGGGCTAGCAATGAGGAGATGCTTGTGGGATGAAGGACGAGCACCCAAGTTGTGGGTGAGATCAGGGATTAGTCTGTGCCTAGGGTCAGGGCTCAAGCTGTGACTAGGGTCAGAGTTGAGCCTGTGTGATCAGGGTCAAGGTTCCGTGTATGACCAAGGCCAGGAGCCAGGCTGTGACCAGGGGCAGGACACAGGTGATGGCCCAGATTGGGGCTCAGTGTGTGGCCAGGATCAGGGTTCAGTGTATGACCAGGGTCAGATCAGGGTGTCAGCAGGGAGAAGGCTCAGTCTGTGATCAGGTTTAGGGCTCAGTGTGGTGACCAGCCATCAGGCTAAGCCTGTGGCCAGGGTCAGGTAGTTGTGGGGACAGGATGGAGCCTGGGTCCTCACCTCCCTCTGCTTGGGCCACTGGTGGGACGTTTCCAGGAGGGTTCGCAGGTGTGTCTTGACTGTGGCACCGTTCCCTTCGGCTTGCAGGATCAGCCCGTAGTAGGTGAACAGGAAGGCCTGTGGGAAGGTTTGCATCCTGTACAGAGCCTGGCCTGCCTCCGATGGGCTCCTCTGAGCAGCCCGGCCCCGCTCACTTGGCCCTCCCGGCCCCTGCGGCCACCCTCACCACCCTGTTCTGGGACTGTCCAAGCCCCCTGCTTCTCTGGGGTGCACCAGTTCCTTCCCAGGGCCCTGTGCATGCTGTGGACAGAGCCCCCTGGGCCTGTGTGTGGGGTAGTCAGGGGCTGCCTCAGAAGAGATGGGGGTCCTACCTTTTCTGGGGGCAGCTCCTGTTGGGTCCGGCTGGGCTTGGTGAGTGCCCAGAGCAGCTCCTTGGACCACACGTCTGTGTTCAGGAACGGGACCGACTTGACGGCCATCTGTTAGCAGAGGGGGCGGGCTGGAGCTGGCCCTTCCCCCACCTGAGGGCGGGGGTCCTAGGCCGCTACCAGCCTGGCCCACCCTGGCCTCTCTGAGCCCTCACTCCATCGCCCCCTCGTCCCTTCCCCCTTCTGAGTCTCTAGCATCCAGCTCTCCTATTTGTTGCCTGTCAGGGGTGGGGAAACTCGTTCCTCAAGATTTCCTCCCTGGAGATGTTCCAGGTGAGTCTGGAAAGCCTGGAGCCTGGGAGGCTGCAGAGTCCAGTCCCGACTATGTCCCCAGCAATGACCAGGGGACAGACATAGCAAGTGGTCCTCTGCAGGTGGGTGCCGGGAGGTTCATTTGCGGCTGTATTCCCAGCACCCAGCCCAGTGCTTGGCACATGGCAGACGTTAATACTACTACATTGATTATTTTTTTCAATTGATGAATGAGAGACCAAATGAATGAATGAAACGATCCTTCAAAATATCAGGTCCTGAGAGTTCTGTTCCTAACATCACATGATTTTATAATGATTATAAGATTTCTCTATTTCCAATGTCCCCAGAGGTCATGATTCAACAATGCCAAGATTTTTGATCCCAAAATTCTTTTGAGGTGGAGGACACCCCTCCTAAGTATGATCCCAAACACCAAATCTTAAAAGAAAGGATTGAAAAATGCGAAGATAGACATTTTAAAAACTTTGTTCAGCAAAATTGCTATAAATTACACTGATTTAGCAAAGTTTTGTTTTCTGCTGTAGCTATTGCCGAGGGTTAGTATCAGTGATAAACAAGGAGCACTTTATAAATCAATAAGAAAAAGACAAACAATTCATTTTAAAATGATGAAAGGATGCACATGTGATGAGGATACTATGAACTCAAACTTGCTACTATTTAAGGAGTGGAAATTAAGGTTATGCATCATTTTGGCCAAGATGGGCAAAAGGTAAAACACTGAATATCAGCAGGGACGCGGTCTTTGATGGGAGGGTGATTGGATCTACATTTTTTTTGAAGGTTTTCACAATATCAATCAAAAGGCAACATCAATATCAATTATAGTTTAAAATATGCACACATTTCCCCAAGAACTCCATTTCTAGAAATTTATGCTAAAGAAATGCTAAGAATTTGCTGTGAGCACAAGGCATGCCTGGTCGGGCGGACGAGCACCCTTTAGAGCACCCCCTCCCAGGCCTTGAGCCCTTGGTCCCTAAAAGGAAATTGCTCCCCACTTATGGCAGAACCTTCCTGGCTCATTCACAGGATGCTGGGGTGCGGCAGGACCTGGGCAGCCGCAGCCCCATGGACCCTGGCCACCAGGAAGCCCCGAGTTTCCCCAGAAGCGCCAGGGACTCATGTCCCCTCCCCTAAACCTCGACTGTCCTTGTTCACTGCTATATGCAACAGCACCCCAGCTCCTTGTCTGAAATCCAAATTCCCAAACTCAGAAAATTAAACATTTTTCCGCCAAAGCTTTGCAGCAACCTCATTGGCTGGCAAAAGCTGACCCAAGGTGACATGACACGATTTATGGGACTTAGTGTGAATACTTTTTGTATGTTTCTGTAGCAGAGATATTAACATAGTTGATTCTGCAGCTGCCCTAGACCCTGCTAAGGGTGGTCATGGAATATACAGGGTAGGCACTGTATTGCTTTAAAAAACCTAAACTATTCTGAATTTTGTAACACATCTCTTCCCCCAATTTTTAATTGTTTTCAATATTTTGAAAATTGAGGTGCACTTAACTATAGTGAAATGCATGGATCTTTACTGTGCAGCTCATGAATTTTAACAAATGTTAGACCCCTGTAAGTCACACCCCATCAAAATGTAGAGCATTCACCACCACCCTAGGAAGTGCTCTCATGCTCCTTCTTAGTTAATCTCCTTCACCACAAAACTGTTTTGATTTATTTCACTATCGATTAGTTTTGCCATTTCTGGAGTTGCACATAACTGGAATTATGCAGAATATGACTTTGTCTGGTGTTTTTTTCCCTTAGCACAATGTGTTTGAGATTCATCCATGTTGCTGTGTGTATCAGAAATTCATCCTTGTTTTCTGTTTTAACTTTTATTATTTCTTTTGCTTGGTTTAGGTTTAACTTTCTCTTTCTCTAGTTTTCTGAGGTGGACACTTAGATTATTGATTTTAGATCTTTGGGAGAGGGTACCCGTTACTGTGCTTGCCACATGTTGTTTCCAGTTTGAGGCTATGATGAATAAGGCTGCTATGAACATTTTTGCACATGTATAGGTCATTTTGTACATGCATGTTTGGACATCTCTTGGGGAAAATACCTAAACGTGGAATTGCTGGGTCATATGTTAGCTTTAGAAGGAAATGTCAATTTTCTAAAAAGGTTGCACCATTGAACCATCCTACCAGCAGCATTCAGGCTGCTCCACATCCTTGCCAACGTTTGGTGTTGTCATTTTTCACATGAGCTCTCTCAGCGGGTATGTAGTGGTGGCTCATTGTGGTTTCTATAGATATTTCCCTGAGAACTAAAGATGTTGATGATTTTTGGAGATTTGTTTATTGGTGTTCACATGTCTTCCTTTGTGAAGTGCTTTGTGAATATTTTGATAATTTTAAAAAGTGAACTATTTATCTTTTTCTTACTGAGTTGTACAAGTTCTTTATTTATTTTGAATGCAGTGCCTTGCCAGATACATGTATTTTGGGTACCTTCTCCACGTCTGCAGCTTTCTAATTTCATTTTCTAATGATATCAGTTGATGAGCAGATGCTTTAATTTTGATGAAATACAACTTACCCATTTTTTCTTTTTATGCTGATTGCTTTCTGAGTCCTAAGAAATATTTACCTACCCCACAGTTGGCAAGATTTTCTCCTGTGCTTTCTTCTAGATGCTTTTTAGTTTTAGCTTTTACATTTAGGACTTAGTTCCATCTCTAATTAATTTTTGTGAATGGCTTGAGCTAGGCATTACAGTTCATTTTTTCTTATATATATGCAAATTTCCAGGACCATTTATTCAAAAGACTTTCCTTTCCCCATTGAATTACTCTGGCACTTTAAAAAAAAAATCAATCGTCTGTATAAGTGTGGTTTTGTGTTGGATTTTCTATTCTGTTCCACTGATTTATTTGTTTAACCTATGCCAATGCCTCACTGTCCTGTTTACTGTAGCCCTACCTTGAAATCAAGTAGTAGAATTCTTATAACTTTATTCTTTTTCACAATTGTTTTGGCTATTCTAAGTTCTTTAAAATTTCTATATAAAATTTTAATCTATAGGTTATATTTAATTCTACTATAAAGTCTTCTGAGATTTTGATTGGCATTGCATTCAATCTACAAATCGATTTTGGGAGAATTGACATATTGAATTGGTAAGCCATTATTGAATCTTTATTCGCAGACATCTTATTGTCTCTATTTTTAAGGTTTTCTTTAATTTGTCTTTGCAATGCTTTGTAAGGATATTGCACATATTTTGTTACACTTATCTTTGAGTCTTCCATATCTTTATTGCTGTCCTTTTTAGAAAATTTTCATTTTCCAATTGTTCATCACTAGTATATAAAAATTCAGTTGAATTTCGTACATTGATCTTGTATCTTGAGATCTTGCTAAATTCAATTATTAGTAATTATTAGTTCCAATATTTTTAAGATTCTCTAAGATTTTCTATGTGTGAAGTCATATTGTGTGCAAAAAAAGTTTTACTTTTTTGGTTGCCATCTGCATGTCTTTTTTCTTCTCCTTTTTCTCACCTGATTGCATTGGCTAGAAGCATCAGTGCGATGTGGACTGGCAGTGGAGAGATTGGACATCTTTGCCTGATTCCTGATCTTGGCGGCAGAGTGTTCAGTCTTTGATCACTGAGTGTGTTAGCTGTGTTTAGATATTCTTTGTCAAGCTGAGGCTCTTTCCTTCTACTCCTAGTTTGTTGAGAGCCTTTATCATGAATAGGTTTTGAATTCTGCCAAATGCTTTTTCTATGCAATTTTTCATAAAAATGATCAAAATATTTCTACTTTATTCTGTTATTGTGTTGAATTGCACTTACTGCTTTTCAAATGTTAAACTGACCTTGAGTCCCTGGGATAAACACTACTTGATCATGATGTATTACCCTTTTATTCAATTTGCTGATGTTTTGTTTAAAAGATTTTTGAGTTTATCTTCAAGAAAGATATTGGTCTTTAGTTTGCCTTTTTTTGGCAACATCTTTGGTTTTGGTATCAGGGTTGTGCTGGGCTCATATATATCCTTCCTCTTCTATTTTCTTAAAGGAATTTGTGTAGAATTGGTATTATTTCTTCCTTAAGTTTTTTTTTTTTTTCATTTTTCTTTTTAGAAACAAGGTCTTGCTCTGTGGCATCATCATTGCTCACTGCAGCCTCCAATTCCTGGGCTCAAGAGATCCTCCCACCTCAGGCTCCCAAGTAGCTGGGACTATAGGCATCTGCCACGCTTCCTCAAATTTTTGATAGAATTCATTAGTGAAGTGTCTGGGCTTAGAGTCTAAAGGATTTGTGGTGTTGTTCCTTATTTATTTCTGAAGTTGGCATTTTGTGTTTTCTCTCTTCTTGATCAGTCTAGGGAGGGGTTTATCAATTTTTTGAATTTCCTATGAACCTACTTTGATTTTATCCATTCTCTATTGTTTGTCCTTTTTTTGTATTTCTTTGAATTCTGTTCTAGTTTTTGTTGTTTCCTTCCTTCTACTTACTTTGGGTTTAATTTGCTCTTTTTTGGGATAACCTCTTAAAATGGAGGTTTAGATAACTGATTTTATTTTTCTTCTTTTCTAATACAGGCATTAAAATTTCCTTCTAAGCATTGCTTTTTGTTGTATCCCACAAATTTTTATGTGTTGCGTTTTCATTATCCTTTGGTTTAAAATATTTTCTAATTTTTCTTGTGATTTCTTTTTTGACCTATGGGTAGATAAGTGTGACATTTGATTTCCCAGCATTTGGAGTTTTTCCAGATATATCTAATATTGAACTCTAATTTATGTTTTGGTCAGAGAATGTACTCTGCTAGATTTCAGTCCTTTTACTTTCATTGAAACATGATATATGGCCCAGCATATGGTCTATCTTGGTGAATGTTCTGTTTGCATTTTATTAGATCGATTTGGTTAATTGTACTGTTCCAGTTTTCTATATCCGCAGTGATGTTTTGTCTTAGTCTATCAGTTACTTGCATTGCTGTTGCTGCTGCTACTAGGCACCACTCGGTTACGACCCTTCTGCTGCTGCTCCTGCTACAGCCATTTCTGTGTGATGGCAGTAACTGACATTCAGTGAAGGCTTCCTGTGCGCCAGCACCGTGCCAAACACTTCACATGGGCTATTTCCTGTAATCTCCCCAACCGTCATTTGAGTGAAGTCCTTTCACCCCCCTTTGACAGGTGAGAAAACTGAGGTACAGTGGGGCAAAGTAGGTCACCCCAGGGTGCACAGCTGTGATTGACTCAGACCCAGGTCTGTCAGGGCCCTGTGTCCTTTCTCTCAGCCAAGCAGGCCCCTCCCCTGGTGTGCGCAGCGGCGGGCCTGCGCTGACCCTGCTTCTTGGCTGCGGCATCCTCAGTCCACCTGACTCGCTTCCTTCCTCCCCTGTCTCAACCTGGGCCTCTGCATCCTCTCTGGTGCCCTGGTTGTAGGTCCAGCTCACAGCACGGAAGGGGTGGTCCTGTGCATGTTGGACACCTGCTTTGTGCCAGGTCTCTAGAGACCAAGGTTCAAATCCCACCTGCCCCAGTGACCAGCCCTGCTGGCCAAATCATGTCATCTCCCCAAGCTCTTCTGTCTGCTCATCTGTGCAGTGGGGACCCTCCTTTCCTCCCCACTCCCTTGCTTTCCCCATCTCCCTCCCTCCCTGTTCCTTCCCTCCCTTCCTTCTCCCCTCCTCTCCCCTCCTCTCCCCACTGCAGCAGGTGCTGGTCCATGTTGGTTTGCTCCCCCGCCCTGGCTGCTGGCTGGGCTCCCCCTACCTGGGTCAGCTGCTCTTCCCAGCTCGCCCTGTCTTCCTTGTTGAGCAGCTCCTCTGGGGGCGAGAGGGGTGGGTTGCAGGTCTCATGTCCACAGCCAGGGCTGGATCTCAGGCCCCATCTCCCCACCTCCCCACCCTTAGACACTGGCTGGAGTTGGGCGATACTGTTCTGCCTCTGCCCGTCCTGCTCACGGGGGAAGCAAGCTGGAGGGATGGTGAGCCCGGCTTGGGTGTGGGGTCCAGAGCTGGGCTGGAGTCGTGGCCCTGTTGCCCTTGCTGTGTGACCCTGGGCAGGCTACGTTCCCTCTCTGAGCCTGGGGCTCCCCAGTGGTGAGTGGAAGGGCTCCTCCAAACATGGCCCCTTGGGATACACTGGAGTCCCCTCAAGAGTGGGAAAATAAAGCTTGGGTGGGAGACATGGTGAGACTGGAAAGCCTTTTGGGGGCTCTGGAACTCCCATCTCAGAGAGAGGGGCTGCTTTGGGGATGGGCCTGGGGTCTCAGAGGTTGCCCCAGGTGCAGAGGGACCTCCACCCAGCCTGCCCATCCCAGGGCAGGGCCAAGCCAAGCTGGGTCCTGCCTTGTCCCAGGCCTTAGAGTCCAGGCTCCCAAGCCCAGCCTGGGAGGCCTCCCCTGCTGGACTGGGCCTCCCTGCAGGTCACAGGACCTGCCATGCCTGCTTCCTCCACTGCCCAGTTCCTCGCTGGCTGCTGACCAATGCTTCCTGAAGGCCGTTGGTGAAGTGAGCTTCCCTCCTCACATTCCTATGCATCCCTCTAGACGTGGCCTCAGCTGGTCACCTTCTCCAGGAAGCCCTCCCTGAAGGACCCCAGGACAGCCAGTCACTCTCCTCTCTGGGCTCCTCCAGATGCCCCTGTGGCAGCCCAGCACCTCCCCGCTGGGCAATAGTAAGCACAGCAGCACATGCTTGTGAATGAATGAGTGAGTGAATGAATGGAAGTTGGTGCTTGCCTCCCTCCCTGGACTATGAGCCCCTGTGGCTGAGGGCCTGGCACGCGGCAGGGGCTCAGTCAGTGTTTGCTGTCCTGCACCAGCTGAGTGCAGCACTACCCCCTGCCACGTCCTCAGGACCCCACTGTCCAGCGCGGCCCTTCCCGTGGCTCCGCGGCAGCAGCTATTGTGAAGTAGGCCCTGGAGGCTGCAGGCTGCCACGCGCTGTGGGTGGCCCTGGCCTGTCACGCTGCCTCTCTGAGATGGGTCTCCTCGTTGTCTGGGGAGGAGTGCCGCCTGACTCATGTGGCCGAGGGACAGGACAGATGCGGCAGTGGCACCTGGAGGTGCCCTGGCCCACCTCCCAGACCCTCCCAGGTTGTCCTGGTTCTGTCCAGGCCCAGCTATTGAAATACTGACAGCAGGCACGAGAGCCGTCAGACAGGTGGCACCGCTGGGCCTGGTGCAGCCCTTTCCTGGGAGGTCCCAAGAGTGTCCAAGCGGCCAGGGGTGGTGGGCGGCTGTGGGTGACAGGATGGCCTGGATAATAGACCATCTAACAGGAAGAAAGAGGAACCAACCCACAGCACATAATTGCCCCTTTGAAGGGAAAGATCACAACACACAGCAGCCCCTTGTAAGACTAACCGCCTGTGGCCTAACTCGTTGTTTCTAAGAGATTTTTTAACAGCCTTGAAGAGCCCTAAGCAGACAGCAGGGGTGTGAGCCCCACCTCAGCTCTCGCCAGAACCACATTCTGAGGACTTTTATAACCGGCGTGCAGAGAAGAGAAAAAAATAATGAAAGAGACACAGCTGTGTCACAGCCATTTTTGCTGTCAGCTGGCAGCAATTGCTTTTTCACTTTTTCCCCCTCTACCCCCTAATAAAAACCCCAAACCTCTTATCCCCACCCCCCGCTAGCACATCCCTTTTCTTTTTTTTACTATATGCTGCTCTTTCTCTTTCCTTCTCTCTCGCTCTCTCTCTCAGAAGGTAAAATAAATCTTTTGCTTCTTTCTATCCTAATCTTTGTGTCGAGACTTCTTTCTCATCCTCATCGCGAGTCCCCACCCTAACGGTGGGGTCCTCAGGGCAGCAGCCCGTCCACCCTGCTTTGCCATCGTGCGGCCGGCAGATCGGCAGCCCTGCCTGGGCTCTGGGGCTCAGCACCACTCCTGGACCCGTGTGACGCGCCCCATGCGCCCACCGCGGCAGACTTACCCTCCGAGGACAGGACGCCCATCACGTAGAGCAGGCTGCGGTGCGGGAAGACGCCCGTCAGCAGCTCTGCCTCCAGGTGCTGGGCCACGGGCCGCCACGAGTGCTTGCAGATGGCCGCCAGCACGTTGCTGGCCGCGTCCTGGAATGCGTCTTCCAGCTCCTGGGCAGGGCGGCAGGACAGGGAGGAGAAAGTAAGAGCCGGCTTGTCCAGGGCCCTGGCGTTTTCACAGGCTGGTGTGGTGCGACAGGCAGGGCAGTTATTACCAACCCTTTTTTGTTAAGAAACTGAGGCTGAGGCAGCCCGAGACATTCCTAGTCTCTTAGGGTTCTAGAACATTCTTCTTCCTGCTTCTGAGCCGCTGCTCACTCTGTGCCCCTGCCTGGGACCCCATTCCCACTCCCTATTTGTCCAAATCTTAGGCCATTTTAGAGTCCCCACAAGGCCTGGGCTCAGGACACCCATCCGGGAGCTTCTAGTCACACCCCTCCCCTCTTCCAGAGCTCCCATCAGCTCAGGACAGCGTCACATCTTTAACTCTTTACCGCCATGAACTCAGAACCAGCGGCTGTGTTCCCGTCCATCGAGGCAGTGTCAGCTGCTCCAGGGCAGAGCCCAGCTGGCCAGGTCCCTGCCCCCAGCCCTGGCCAGGCCCACCGCTGTCTGGGGGGAGTACCGTGGGGGAAAGGAGCCTCTTGCCCTGGAGCCTGACTCTGTGCCATGCCGGTACTTTCTCAGTAAGTGTTTTTGGTGTTTCTTTAGCTCACGCTCCACGTTTGAATTCCTCTCTTTTCCCTGTCCTAGTGGGAGCCGTGAGGGGACTTCATGCCTGTGGGTGTGAGGCAGGCACAGCGGGGGTCTGAGTGCTTTTGGTGGCATCTGAAAGTGGAGGTACCTAAGGTCCTTTCCTGCTCAACCTGCCATGTAGCTTGAATCATCATAGGAAATTGATAAGTCATTTATAATTTATTTATTGATTTTTTGAGACAGAGTCTCACTCTGTCACCCAGGCTGGAGCATAGTGCTGTCATCATAGGTCATTGCAGCCTCAGACTCCTGGGCTCAAGCAATCCTCCTGCCTTAGCCTGCCGAGTAGCTGGGACTATAGGTGTGTGCCACCACACCCAGCTACATTTTCTATTTTTAGTAGAGACAGGGGTCTTGCTCTCACTCAAGCTTGTCCTGAACTCCTGACCTCAAGTGATCCACCCACCTCGGCCTCCCAGAGATCTGGGATTATAGGCTTGAGCCCCTGCACCTGTCCTATAATTTATTGATAGTATGGCCATGAGAGCTTCTTGTTAAGATGATGGATTGAATCTGATCTTGCTCTTCCCCCCACCCAAAATATTAAAAAACTCCAACCCCCAAAAGCTCATCTAAAACCATATTTAGGAGATTTTTAAAAAAGGACAACAGCAACCACATCTGGAAGCTGGAAGCAGACAGCCCCACCCATGCTGTGCCATCTCCCACGGTTTGGATAGAAGTTGGATCTTGTGTCTCCCCAAGCCCTGGACTCGAGGTGGCAGTGGAGGGGCATAATAATAAGGGTCATGTGGTTTTTGAGGCAGTTGTGTCCCTAGATGGTGCCCACCCCACACAGCTGGAGGGGTCCACCCCCTGGCACCCCAGCAAGACCCGGTCTCTGGAGAGGGTGGGTGAGGGTCTCTGCACAGGGGAGGCCAGGACCACAAGCTCAGGGCACAGTTGCTTCCCAGGCCTGGCCCCCATAGCACCACCACTGGTCAGGACCCTGACCTCCAGGCTGGGCCCTGGGTCAGGGTCTCCCTGGAAAGCCTCAGAGCCCAGAAGAGAAGACAGAGGGATGCTGACATGGCTGGAGACAGAATATAGACGTTCGGGAAAAGCGTGGCTCACGGTTTTGCTCCCACACAGCCCTCCTCAAACAGCTGCTGGGGCTGCATGTCTGCTGCGTGGGTGGTGAATCGGGAAGGGTCCCTTGACTGGGGACAGGAGTCCAAGGCGGGGCAGATCCCAGGATGCCTTGAGTCCCAGCCCGGGGCTGGGAACGATTGTGTGCTTTGCAGGTTTTGACCTGGTGGTGAAGTGACCACTGGCCCTCCGCGTCCCGCCGGCTTGTGGCACCTGCGCTGCTACACTGGGCAGCGACACTGGGTCCTGGTGAGCTCAGAAGCAGAAAACGCGGAACAGCCCTGACCAGCTTCCTGCAGGCTGTTGCCCAGCCTGCCGGGCTGCTGCCCTGCCTCACACGCCATGACGGGTCTCAGCCACCCCCAGCGAGGCTGAAGGTAGACCGTGACCCTGTGACTGTACTGCAGCCCCTGCTCCCAGATCTCTGCTATCCTAGATCTGTAACCTGTACCAGATGCCACACGCTTGTTAATAAATATGCCCAATAGACACCACGATGGCGAGTTAAATAAACAAGCAAATAAATATAATTTAAATAGAAAAAGAAATAAGGTGGATATGGCCCTTGTTCCCCATTTCTCTCTGTCCCTCACACCTAGGGTGGCCTCATAGGCTTCTCTGGGGGAAGCACAGGAGCCTGTCCACCTGCTCCACCATCTGGGCTTTGGCCTCGGTCTCTCCATCTGTGAATGGGAGCCACACACACCTGTTTGGAGAGTGCACTAGGCACATTTTCAGACTCTACTGGCTACTTGACAACTCTTATTCCTAATCACCTCTCCGTAAGGCTGCTGAGTCACAGGGCCAGATGGACGCCCAAAGTAGTTCATGTGTTCGCAGGTGTGTGAAAGTCACATTGCAATTCCCCAGCCACCGACCCTGACCAGCCAGTGGCCCCTTAGCCCCCAGGGGATGTCTCCACTTAGTTACTTCCTGCCACCATAGCCCTGAAGGCACAGTCCAGATAGTTCCTGTCTGCTTCCTCAGCTCTGCAGGGGACAGGTTCAGGTGGCCCTGTGTGGCATGCTGTGCTTTTTGGTTCCAGTGTGAGTATTTTTTTTTTTTTTTGAGTCAGAGTCTCACTCTGTTGCCTGGGCTAGAGTGCCGTGGCTTCAGTCCAGCTCACAGCAACCTCATACTCCTGGGCTCAAGTGATCCTCCTGCCTCAGCCTCCTGAGTGGCTGGGACTATAGGCACTTGCCACTATGCCCAGCTAATTTTTTTCTATATATTTTTAGTTGGCCAATTAATTTCTTTCTATTTTTAGTAGAGATGGGGTCTTGCTCTTGCTCAGGTTGGTTTCGAACTCCTGACCTTTAGTGAGCTGCCTGCCTCGGCCTCCAGAGTGCTAGGATTACAGGCGTGAGCCACTATGCCCGGCCCCAGTGTGAGTATTAAAAACCTTTTGAATGGCATTTGCCTGTCCATGTATCATTCATAAATTAAGACCGGGCACAATACAGAGGGTTAAATGGTGCCTAGTCACTCTTTGACAGGTGCCAGTGCATAGACCCACGGTAGGCCTTGGTGATTGCCATGTGGGTACTGAGTAGTCCACCCTGGCGCTGCCCTGGCCTAGTCGGTCTGAATAAAAGCCACCAGTCCTCAATCTCCTGGAGCTGCAACCAGTGGAGACTGTGGGCCGGCCTGGGGGTGGCTGCCTGGACTGCACGCCTGGGGCAGGGCAGGGCAGTTCAAGTCCGAGCCTGCCAATCTCCTTTGGGCAGGAACCCAGATGGGGAGCCGGGGGCTGAGTCACAGCCTGGGAATGTGGTAGACTCGCAGCCGGCCTTCCCGAGGCTGGGCAGCCAGCATCCCCTGGATCCTGGGGCAGCTGCCTGCATTCCCAAAGCCCTTGCAGGAATGGCCCATTGGCCGTGAAGGGGAGGCCCACCGTGGACTTGGCCATGTTCTCCAGGGCCAGCTTCGTGAAGATTTTCTCCCAGCTCTCGTCCAGGAAGTCACTGGCTCTGATGACTATTTCCAGGGCCTGGAACAGCCGGAACTTGTGCCGGGTGGAGATCTGTGAATGGCAGAGCGGACAGAGGCGCAGGGCCAGGTGGGTCTGATGGTGCAGGAGATGATGGGGACTGGTGTGCACGGAGGCCAAAAGGAGAGGGTCAGAGCTGGTTGCTTTTGGCCATTCCCCCAGTGACCATTTAGTGAATACCTACTACGTGCAGGTCCCCAACCAGGTGATGCAGAGAGAGAGGAATACAAATATGTCCCTATGCTCAGGGAACTGCCATGGGATTTAAAGACATTCCATCTTCAAAGTCAGGTCATTCATTTATGCTTAGATCTTCCCTTCACTTGTCCATTATCTTTCCCTCCATCCCACCATCCATCTCTGCCACTTAACGGTTCTGTGAATTTAGGCAAATCACTTCCTGTCCCTAAGCCTTCATTTCCTCATCTGTGAGGATCATAACATCCACCTCAGTTTGAGGGTGGCCAACGCACGTTGGTCTGCTGTTCTTCCTTACTCAGCCCATTTGATATATGAGGAAATTGAAACTTGCCCCAAATTCTCTAGCTGTTCTAGGTAGGATCCAGGATTTGAGCCCACCTTGGGGTCCAACCCTCCCCTCTGCTCCCCGTGCCTGTTCCCAGTGGCCCGTGCAGCCCCCACCTCCGGGTTTTCTATGAAGTAGTCGTGGATGGACTCCAACACTAGGTTGGGGGACACGTGAGCCATGTTCTTGATCTTCTTGAAGATGTACTTCAGGTGGAAGGGATCGGAACCACTCATGTCCCGGAACATCTTGAAGCAGATGGCTGCGGGTGGCAAGAAGGGTGTAGGGTGGGTGGGCCATGGAGGGTCACATTGTAGATGTAGGGCTGGGTAGGCAGGGAAGGCAAGTCTGGGGATGGGAAGGAGTCATCTGAAGCGAGGACTGCACAACTGGACACATGGGAAGTCCTGGACCTCTTGACTGTCCAGAGATGCCTTCTGGGGTATAGATATGGAGCATGAGTGTGTACAAGTCTGCATAACCTCACTCACCCGCTCACATTCCATCCACTCACTGACCCAACTGCTTTTCCATCCATCCATTTATTCATTTATCCATCATCTGCCTATCCGTGTACCCATCTGCCCATACACCCACACATTCATTCAAGTATCTGCCCCTCATTTATTCATCCACTTTTTTGTCTAACTTGCCATTCATCTACTCACCCATCCACCAAACATCTGTATCTTCATAAATGTATCATCTATACATCCATCCACTCATAAATTCATCCATCCATCCATCTACCCTATTCATCCATATATAAATTAATCCATCCATCCATCCATCCATTCATCTGTCTGTCCATTTATCCACTCATCTATTCATACGCTAATTCCTCCATCCAGTTATCCAACATTCAGTTGTGTCTGGATGAGGGAAAAGCATTCCAGGGAGGAGGCCAGGCCTGAGCTGAGGTTCTGAGTGTGAGAGGGTGTGGGAGGAGAGGGAGGGTTGGGTATTAGATGGGGCATTTTTTGGCTTTGGAAGGTACCCCAGGATTCATGAAGAGGCCAAGGCAGGTACGCTGGGCTCTCTGCTGAAAGCTTTAGTATGTCTACACCCCTTGACATCCTCAAGGTCCTGGAGATGGGACTCCCTCTGCCCCTCACTCCCCAGGACTGCTTTGGGTAGAAGGACATGATGGGAACTGCTGGAACCTGACTCCGTCTGGGGGCCACCCTGCCCCTGGCCTGAGTCCCGGGGCTGGTGAGCACCTGAGTTGTAGGCTTCCTCCATGAACATCTTGTGCTCCTGGGGCATCAGGGCGGCCTGGCTGCTCTGTGTTTTGTGGAGGAGGATGGTGGTGGGGTATGACCTTCTGTCCCTGTAGTCAGAGTCCTGAGGTCCCTTTGTGCAAGATGGGTCCTTCATGGATGTGGAGACATGGGGGGAGATTCTGAAATGGAAAAGGGATCCTGGGTGTACACATCTGGGTGCCTTTGTGTGTTGATGGATTGAGGGGAGGTGACACTGAGGGCAGCATGGGTTTGGATCAGGTCCAGCAACCTCCTTCCATTTGTCTACCCTTCTGTTCACTGGACGGGCTGAGCCCTGGGAGGAGGCTGTGGTCGGAGGCCTTGTGACACTGTGGGCTCATGGGACAGACGTGGCTGTGGGGCAGACATGGCAGGGCTCAGGGTCTGGCACCCAGCTCCAGTGCTCGCACTGACGTGGATGAGCTAGGCCCTCAGGACCACACACAAGGCTGCCCTAACCACCCAGACATCCCTGTGGGGTCTCTGAGGGGAGGACAGGTGCCACAGGAGTGGGGGTGGGGCAGAAGCAAGGAGGAATGTAGGGCCCTCCAAGCTGGTCCATGCCCCTCCCCCTCCCTCCGTCCCTCCTCCTATGGGAAGGATCCCTCAGACTGTGGGCCTGTGGGACATACGGGGCTGAAAAGCAGGCATCCTTCCCTTTGGGGGTGCCACCTGAGCCTGGCTTCCTAACTCCCATGAGCGGCCCCATGCAGGGACACTTCCGCTGCTCCCACTTCCAGACTCTTCTGCTGGTTCACTCTCAGTTCCCACTTCCCAAGTACCTACCGTAGGCGGGGCATGTTCTAGGGACCCGGGGTACACCCGTGAGGAAGAAAAACAGCTGCCAGCAAATTAAATAAGTAAATTCTGTGGTGTGTTAGAAGGCAGCACATCTCTCAACACCTTATTCATCCATTTGTCCCACCAGTAAGAGGGCATGTCAGATCATGGCACTCAGAACCCCCCTGTGGGTCCCCATTCCACACAGAGTAGAACCCAAAGTCCTGAAAATGACTTAATGAGACACTGTTGCTTCCACTCAAGATGCAGTAACAAGGACCAGGCTCACCCTCTAGCCTTAGCTCCAAAATTGGGGAAAATACTCAATGCCAGGGTTCTCAGACACCAGGCAGCAGCGGCGCAGGGCAGCAATCCCTGAGAGATGGAAAACCGACAAGCCAAGCCCCAAACTGCCACAGACAGCCGCCTGGAAAGTTTCCAGTTTGCAGCGCCGGGGGACGGAACCCAAGAAAGCCCATTAGTCCCCTTGAGTTGAGGCGATGGAGATAGAAGTTTGGGGAGGCCAAAGTGGCCAGAATTTACAGGGACAGGTCATAGGAGACGGCTGCAGGTGGGGGGGTGGGGTCCTGGAGATTTGCAGAGGGTCCCCCGCATCCCCAGGCTTCCTCCCAGTTCAGTGTGTGTGGGAAAAGAACCACAACAGCCCCGAGGGAGCAGAAGGAACAATCTTTTTGGAGCTTATACAGGCCTAGAAAGAGTTTCTTTTTCATCAGCCAGAGCAGAAATCCTTGTAATGCACAGGGCATTAGGTAGAGTACTCTGGTGTTACTTCAATGATGCTTTGTCCCTACCTACCGAAGCTTTAAAAGCAAGCCTCAAAAGGACCAAATTGTTTTCAAATAATTTAATTGTGTCCCAGAACAAAGTTCAAGAATATTAAAAAAAAAGAAAGTAGGAATATCCAGTACCCAATAAGGTAAAATTCACAATGTCTAGCATCCAGTCAAAATGTATCAGGCATGCAAAGAAGCAAGAAAATATGAATTACAATGAGGAGAAAATCAATTGATCAGAATGAACACGGAGATGACAGCATTAGAAGACAAGGACATTAAAATGGTTAATGTAACTATATTCCATATGTTCAACTTGGTAGAGTAAAACATAAGCATGTTAAGGAGAGACACAGAAAATATAAAAAAAATATGTTTCAGATTAAGAATATAGCAGATTAGACACTGTAGCAGCAAAGATTAGTGAACCTGAAGACACAGCAGCAGAAACTATCCAAAAATGAAACACAAATAGAAAAAAGGGGAAAAGTGGAACAGAGCATCAGTGAGACATCAGTGGGACAACTTCAGGTGGCATTATGTGTGTGGAATTTGAGTCCCCACAGGAGAAGGAAGGAGGAAGAAAACAGATTTGAAGAAATAATATCTGAACATTTTGTAAATTCGATGAAAATTATACATCTAGAGATCCAGGAAACTCAATGAATTACAAGCAGAAGAAACATGAAGAAAATGATACCAAGTCACTTAAAATTAAAATTTCCCTAAACCAGTCACAAGAGCAAATCTAACAAAAAGCTAGGGAAAAAAACACATGAAAGAAATAAAAAAAAAATGGGAGCATAGTTCTTCTTGGAAATAATGCAAGCCAGAAGATAGTGGAGAAACATTTTAAAGCAATGAATGAAAAAGCAAAACAAAACAACAACCTGTCAAGCTAGAATTCTATATGCCTCCCCAAATCTTTAAAAGCAGAGGGTGAAATAAAACTTTTTTATACATACAATGGCCATAAGAATTTATCACCAGAAGATCTGCACTGCAAAAAATGTTAGAGAAAGTTTTTCAGATAGAAGGAAAATGATACCAGATGGAAACTACACAAAAGAATGAAGAACATTGGAAATGGTAAAAATGTAGGTAAATAGAAATCAATGAAACTAACAGGTGTTTTTTTGGAAAGATGAATAAATTGATAAATCACTAGCAGGATATATTAGGACAAAAAGAGGACACAAATTATTAACATCAAGAATAAGAGTGAGTACATCATTACAGGTACTACAGACATTAAAAAGATAAAGGAATAGTATTCAAAACTTTATTCGACTTAGATGAAATGGACAAATTCCTTAAAGTCATAAAATACCAACGCTCATTTGAGAATTAAATAACAAGAATTGCCATATATCTATGGTAAAAATTGAATTTGCAGTTGAAAACACTCCCCCAAGGAAAACTTTAGGTCCAGATGGTTTCACTTTTGAATTCTACAAAGCATTTAAGGAAGAAATAGTACCAACGCTACAAAATTCTTCCAGAAAATTGAAGAGGAGGAAACACTTCTCAACCAATTCCATGAGTCAAGCATTACCCTGCTACCAAAACCAGATAAAAATATTATAAATAAAGAAAACTACAGCTTAATATTCTCCGTGAGCAGACACAAACTTTCTTAAGAAAATAATCCAAAATATATAGAAACATTCACCCATGATCTTTAAATGGGGCTTATCCTGGGAATGCAAGACTGGCTGGACATTTGAAAGTCAATCAATGTAATTCATCATATTGACAGACTAAGGAAGAAAATCATATAATTATCTCAATAGTTGCAGAGAAAGTATTTGGCAAACTCAAACGTCTATTCACAATAAAAACAGGGATTAAGGAATGTTCCTTAACTCAATAAAGAGCATCTATGAGAATCATACAGCTAATATCATACTTGCCAGTGGAAGACTGGATGTTTTATTCCTCATGATTGGGAATGAGGCAAGGATGTATGCTATTAACACTCTTATTCAACATCGTATTTTGGCCTTAGTCAAGGTGAAAAGTCAAGAAAAAGAAATAAAAGGCATACAGCTTGGAAAGAAAGAAACAAATTGTTTCTATTTGTAGAAGACATTATTACTCAAGTAGAAAATTCCAAAGAAGCTACACAAAAACTTACTAGAACTAAAAAGTGAGTTTAGCAAATTTGCAAATTATAAGGTCAGTATACAAAAATAATCATATTTCTATATACTGTCAATGAAGAATTGGGAATTGAAAAAAAAATACCATTTTTACATTACCTAAAGATCATAAGTTATTTAAGTATAAGTCTAACACATAATTGTAAGGTCTATATACTGTAAACTACAAAATATTTATGAAAGAAATCAAGAAGATTTTAGTAAGTAGAGAGATATACCATGCTCATGCATTGGAAGAATCAATATTGTTAAGATGTTAATTTTCTCTAAGTTTATCTAAATATTCAGTGCATTCCAATCAAATTTCTGGCAGAATTTTTTATAGTAACCAAAAAGCTGTTTCTAAAATTTACTTGGAAGGTAAAGGAACTAGGATAGATAAAAATGATTTTGAAGAAGAACAAAATTGGAAGACTGCTTTCAAGACCACTACCAATTTCAAGACTTATTATAAAGCTAAGTAATCAAGACAGTGTGATACTGATGAAAACACAGAAATATAAATATATAGAGCAGAAGACAGACTCCAGAAAAAGACCCATATGTATGAGGCCAATTGATTATTGACAATGGTGTGAAAGCAATTCAATTGAAAATCATTCAATGAACGGTGCTATAATAGTTGAATAAACACATACAACAAATAGCCCCCAATCTATACCTCACACCACATACAAAAATTTACTCAGAATAGATCATAGACCTAAAGGTAAAATCTAAATTCCTAAAACTTCTAGAAGAAGAAAATATTAGGGGAAATCTTCATGATCTTGGGTTAGATAAAGATTTATTAGATGTCACACCAAAAGCACTATCCATAAAAAGAAAAAAAATGATAAACTTGATTTCACAAAAATTAAAAACTACTGGTTTTTGAAATATGTGTGAAAGTTGTTGGAATCAAAATGGGCCATCTGTTAAAAATCTGACAAATGGGGCTGAGGGAGGCCATAGAGGGAGAGTTCTCATGCATGATGCCTGATAACAAGAAGTATCATAAAAGACTGCAAAAACCACATCCTTCTACAACGGCCATTGCAACCTTACACACAAAACATACTTCTATGAGGACATCTGCCCAGCAACTGCATATTCAGCCTTAGACTGATGTCATCCTTGTTATTGATCATTGTAGCTAAGATTATTGTTTCAAAACAATTTATGTAATCATCTTCATTTTGCCTTTAAAAATTTCCTCTTACCCCAACAACCTCCTTGAATACACACACAGTTTACTATATGCACGCGTATACCCATTGTAATGCCCGTTCATGAATAAATACCATTTTTTAAAGAAAGTCTCTCTCTGTCTTGTATTTAGGTTGACAGATATCTATAAAAAGTCAAAAGATAAGCCGCAGACTTGGAAGAAGTTTTGCAAATCACATATCTGATAAAGGACTATATCTAGAATACATAAAGAGCTCTCAAAACAAAACAAAAACACAAACAACCTAAGAAAATACAGGCAAAAGATTTAAACAATCCACCAAAAGAGATGAACAGGTGGCAAATAAGCACATACAAAGTGCTCAGTATTATTCCTCATGAGGGAAACAAATGAAAAGCACAGTGGGTATGACTATACATCTACTACGGTGGCTAAAATCAGAAACACTGAAAGCACCAAGTGCTCTCTTTTCCCACCATGTGAGGACACAGCAAGAAGGTGGCTGTCAGCAAGCCAGGAAGAAACTGATTTGCTGGCACCTTGATCTTGAACTTCCCAGCCTCTAGAACTGTGAGAAATAAGTGTCTGTTGCTTAAGCCACACAGTCTGTGGTATTTTGGTATGGCAGCCCATGCAGACTCATATAGTCCCTGAGCCTTACACAGTGCACATGGTAGAATCACTCCTTCTTGCCTTCATTTACTTGGTGAGTATTTATTAAGTGCCGACTATATGCCAGGCACTGTTCCAGGGCCAGAGGGTTTGTTGGTTAACAAAATATATAAAAATCCTTTCTCTCATGGGGCTCACATATTGGGCAGGGGAGAGACAAGGAAGCCCTGGACTGTCAGCTGGAGCCACAAGGTGGAGAAGTCAAGCATGGACAGGTGTCCTCTACATCATACCCCAGCCATGGACAGGTGGCATTCCAAAAGGCCACACAGCCACACCTTAGCAGGTAGGACATTGTCAACCAGGTCCCACAATCCCAGCTTAGCTCAGCCCCACAGGGCCTCCCCCAGGGCAGGAAGGCCTGGCCAAGGACATGCCATTTGGGTAAAACCATCCCAATAGGTTCAAGTGTGTGCGTGTTGGACAACTGAATAAGTGAATGAGAGATGAATGAATGAAGGCATCCTGGGAATAGTGTAGCTCATCCCAGCTGAACATGGCTTCCTGTGGACAAGGATAGAGTCCCGATTCTCATTGGCCTCACCTCTGCCTGACCCCACCTCACCATCACCTCTCACCATCTACAATGAGGACGGGGACAGGCGAGGACCTGGCTGGCCTTGACTCCAGAGCCTGAATCCTGGAGGCCGTGTGTTCTGACATCTCTGGGGGTCTCAGGGCCAGGGCAGCTCTGGGGAGGCCCTTGAGGCCTCCTCTCTTGGCCCCTGCAAGGTCAATGCAAACTTTGTCTCTCCTGGGAGCCTCCCTCTCCCTACGGCTTCTCAGAAAACCAGCTACTCCCTACTCCGGGAAAGCCCGCCCTTCCAGCCTGAGCCTGGCAGGCGCTGACTCTGCGGGCTCCCCTGCTGGCTGGGGCTGCAGCCCAAGCCTGGTCTGTCTTGGGACGGCAATGGTCAGGGTGAGGGCCACAGGCGCCAGCGAGACCCCTACCTCGCCCGCCCAAATCCACGTCACAGACCCTGTGCCCTCCAGGGTCAAATGTATTCTTAAAAATAGACGACGCAAACACAGCAAACATCTGTGGCGGGAACTGCTTTGCCGGCTTAGAACCGTCACAAGCTGTGACAGAGGAGACAGGCCTGACAACACTCAGAAGAGGGACTACAGCGCCGGCCCAAACAGCGGAGTTCACAGGCAGGTACCAAGATGCTCCTGCCACAGCCCGAGGCGACGCGAATCAAGACCGGAATCCCCGGCTCCGGGGGTGGGCCAGCGCCTGGACAGCAGAGCCTGCTCCGGGAGGGGAGCCCCCTGGGCTGGGGGTCAGAGGCCGGGCCCTCCTCGGACCGCCTGCCAGACACAGGAAGGTGGAGCTGCCCTTTTTGTCTGCTGGGTCTCTGGGGACACAGGGGGGTCCCCGGGGCCCCAGAAGGTTGTAGAAGAACCTTCCTTTATTCATGTTCTCTCAAGTCTCTGCAGGAACACTGGATGTCGTATCACGTCCATCCCGCCGAGGAGAGCTGAGGCTCTGAGAAGCAGGCGGACAGTCCGTCCGTCCGTCCATGCAGAGGTTCACACAGCAGGTGTGGGGCGCCCCCTTGTCCCTCGCCTGCACTCTGCCGGGCAAGAGCTGCGGCACGGTGAGGCCCACCCCACACCCCTCCAAGGCTGCTCCGGAGGCAGGACCCCTCCCTCCTCCACACAGGGGCTGGGGGCTCAGCCCAGGTGCCCCTCAGAGAGGTGGGGGGCAGGGCCCCTGTAGGGAGAAGACAGGGTCCCCGGCGCTGCCGTGTTCCCTGCAGGGCTGAGCTGACCTGGCGTTGAAGGACAGGGCTGACGGCGTCCTGCTGGCCGAGGCGCGGCTGTGTGGCCTTTCAGGATGCTGCCTGTCCATGGTTGGGGTGCGGTGTGGAGGACCCACCGGCCCCCACTGACAGCTCTGGCCTCACGCCCGTGGACCAGCCCTATCTCTGGACACTGCCCCTCCCCCGCTGTGGCCGGCCCTGACCTCACTCTGAGGTCACAATGGTTCCAGTGCCCACAGCACCCTTTGCAGGGACAGTGTCTGTGTTCTGAGGACGGCATGTGCCTGTGTGTGTCTGTGTCTGTGCGTGCATGTGTGTCCTCAGTGAGGCCTCGGGCCCATCCCTCCTTCTCTGAGCCTGTCGTATCCCGTGAGATCTGCAAGTCCAGCTTGGGCCGTTTGTTTGACGACCGCAGGTCCCTGTGCTGATGGTAGGCTCCCAGGGCTGGGTCTGAGCACCTGTGATGTGCTGGGCTCCTCTCTGGGTGTTGCTGCCGGACACCTCTGGGGCCCTCTCCAGCCACAGGAACGGGAGCAGGGATGGCCTTTGGGGCAGCATGTGGGGCTGGGCAGGCTGCCCAGAACCAAGTCCAGTCTTCCTCTACCCACCTGGTGTAAGCGACTCACCTCTCTGCGCCTCGGTTTTCCCAACTGTAAAATGGGAGCATTACTGCCCCAGCTCCGGGGCTGCTCTGTGGGTTAGAGAGAGGACAGGGGTGAGGCCCCAGCCCAGTGCCTGGCAGACCAGGGTGTCATCGTGATTCCAGTGCCTGAATCTTGGGCAAACCAGGTGGCACCAGCCCCGGCCCAGGGGTGTCTCTGCAAAATGATGACAGCAAGATGTCATCACTGGCTGATGGTGCCAAGCATTTGCAGATGCAGCCTCAGTGCCCAGACTTGGGGTGCCCTGGGTCTCACCCCCTGCCCCTCAGTGCAGGAAGCTTAACAGGAAGCCAGAGCAGCAGAGGTGGGGCAGGCAGGTCAGGGGCTGTCCAGGCAAGGACCAGGAAGGGCTTGGTGTGCACAGGCAGCATGGCGCAGCGGTGAGGCCGTCTGATTTTGCAGAGTAAATGAGAGCTGTGCCAGCAGGTGGGGTGGGGTGAGTTCCATGAGGATGGGAGGCAGGAAAAAGCCTGACCTCAGAAATGGAGATTATGGGATTTCATATGTCCCTGGGTCTTGGATGGGAATTGACTTCAACCAGACGACTCCGGGGACTGTGTGGAGGGACATGGCAGAGGTGTGGGCAGGGTTGGGGGGAGGAGGAGGTGGCACCCAGGGACCAATCCCAGGGGAGCTGTCACTGCCCTGGACCTGAAGGTGTGGCTTGAGCCCTGGCAGGGCAGCCACTGCTGGGGAGGGAGGGGGAGGAGCACCCAGCCCTCTTTCCTTGCACCCTCCTTCCCTCTCCCATGCCCATCCTGACTCTTGGTGGAGGAGTATGTCTGTGTCTGCACCTTAGGGACTGCCCAGGTGAGCACAGATAGCGCTGGTGCCCTTGTGGACATGGGGAGGAAAATCCCCAAGGAGAAAAAGTAGGGGGGTGGCAATGGGAGGAACTAGTAGAGAAAGGTCAGAGAGATGGAGCAAAGGAGTGAAGAGGGCTGGTGGGGAATGGCAGATTTTGGGGGGTGGCTGAGCTGGCAGGGCTGGGTGCAGGGGCAGGTGTTTGTGCAGGACAGATGTGTGTGTTCAGGGGCAAGGGTGTGGCAGGGGCAGATATGTGTGCAGGACAGGTGTGTGTCCAGGGCAGGTGTGTGTTTAGGACAGGTGTGTGTGCAGGGGCAGGTGTGTGTGCAGGACAGGTGTGTGTGTAGGGGCAGGTGTATGTGCAGGTGTGTGTGCAGGACAGGTGTGTGTGCAGGACAGGTGTGTGTGCAGGACAGGTGTATGTGCAGGGGCAGGTGTGTGTACAAGGGCAAGGGTGTGGCAGGGGCAGGTGTGTGTGCAGGGCAGGTGTGTGTACAGGGGCAGGTGTGTGTGCAGGGCAGGTGTGTGTACAGGGGCAGGTGTGTGTGCAGGGCAGGTGTGTGTACAGGGGCAGGTGTGTGTGCAGGGCAGGTGTGTGTACAGGGGCAGGTGTGTGTACAGGGGCAAGGGTGTGGCAGGGGCAGGTGTGTGTGCAGGGGCAGGTGTGTGTGCAGGGACAGGTGTGTGTGCAGGGGCAGGTGTGTTTGCAGGGCAGGTGTGTGTACAGGGGCAGGTGTGTGTGCAGGGACAGGTATGTGTGCAGGGCAGGTGTGTGTGCAGGGGCAGGTGTGTTTGCAGGGCAGGTGTGTGTACAGGGGCAGGTGTGTGTGCAGGGCAGGTGTGTGTAGGGTAGGTGTGTGTGCAGGGGCAAGGGTGTGGAAGGGGCAGATATGGTTGCAGGGCAGGGGTGTGTGTGCCAATCAGCTTTGTGTGCAGGGCAGGTGTGGGGGAGGAGCAGCCAGGGTTTGGTTTTCTTCACCTTCTTGCCCTCGAGTGGTTGTGCCTGAAGGAAGAGCCCAGGCAGGAGTGGCTCATCCTCCATCCTCAGACCTCTCTAGCCAGCCTCAGCCCTCTCCCTCTCCAGAATGGTTACAAATTGTCCTTGGAACCACCAACCCCCAGGCCACCACCAGAGCTTGGCCTGTTGTGTGAATGCCAGCCGGAGTGCGTTTTCCCAACCTTGCCTGGCATCACCCGTAAGAACCTCACTGCAGAAAGAGGAGGAAGTCCCCGAGGGGTCCTGTGCAGGAGCCGTGTGAAGCTCACCTGGGTTCTCCAAGGCTGGGGGCGCAGCGTGGGGAGTTAGGCAGGGTCCAAGCCATGACGGCATTTCCCTTGCACTGTTGCAGACGAGGTCCCAGAGGAGACGAAGCGCTGGTGAGGTGCACTGGGACCAGGATAAACCTGCCTGTCTCCTTAGCTGCGTGGCTGGGGCTTTGGTGGGAGCAGCATTAAGGCAGCAGCTGCCACGAGAAAGGGGACCCAGGTGCCCCAGCTCCCCATCCTGCCCCGGCCTGAGTGTCTCAGGTGGGGTTCACCCTACACGGTGCCAGGACAGGTGTCTCCTCCCTTCCATCCCTGACAGCACCCTGCAGTGGGTGCAGGAGGCCTGCCCTGCAGATGGGAAGGCACAGGGTCTCATGATTCCTGTCCCACCTGTGGGCCATCCCCTCCCCTCAAGTGTGGGCCAGGCCTGGTGACTCGCTTCTCTTCCATAAACCACAGCAGGTGTCACTAAGATGAGGTTACAGAAGTGACTTCCGTCTCGATGGCATCCTGGGATTGGGATAAAGCTCAGAGAGGGCCAGGCACGGGCTGGTGGTCACACAGCAGTCAGTGGTGGAAACAGGTCTCAAAGTCAGGCTCCCCAGGCCCAAGTCCAGGGTGGAAATGAGGCCTCTGGACCACTGGCACCTCCTTCTGGGGAACCCGCCTTGGTGGGGACCGGCAGGCTCCTCCCTCTCTGCCAGCCTCAGTGTCCACCTCTGCCATGCGACCCTAGTCCTGAGTCCTGACAGGGCCTCCCCGGGCAGCCAGCAGGTGGCGCTGTGGGCCCAGGCAGGGCTGGCGCGGGTGGGGCCAGCGGGTTGTGCTGCTCCTCCCGCGTCCCCTCCAGCCAGGGGCCAGTGGAAGGGGTGTCATCCTGCTGCCTCAGGCCCTGGGTGGCCCTGGGGGGTGGACACTCCCATCAGGAGCAGAGGCTGTGCGAGAGCTCCAGCTTGTCCCCATCACAGAGAGAAGGGGGCCTGACCCAGGGCAGGGCAGCCCCCCCATTCCCCTGGGCTCCAGTTAGGTCACCCTCTGAGGCTTGGTTTGTGTAGCACCTTCCTCCTGGAATGTGCCCCACCCCCCACTTTCCTAAAGAAATGCTTGCACTTTCCCATTTGTCCCTGGAGACCCAGCCCAGGCCACCCCCTCTGAAGCCTCCCATAGCATTTATTCTTGCTGTGGTTGGTTCAACGTGCTGGGCCTGCCTGGGAGGCAGGATGGTGGAGGCTGTGGTTGACTGGAGGTGACAGGAAGGGCCAGTGGGCACCTTTGCTCCTCCTCCAGGTGGTCCTGCCACCAGCTCCTCGGCTGCTGCCTCCTGCAAGGTCTAACCCCCTGAGGACCCCTCCCAGGGCAGGATGGCCCTGTTTGACCTACCGACACCCCCACAGAAGACTTAAACGTAAGACCTGAAACTATAAAACTCCTAGAAGAAAATGTAGGGGAAGCTGCTTGACATCGGTCTTGGCAACGATTTTTTAGATATGAAGCCAAAAGCATAGGCGAAACAAGCAAAAATAGATAAGTGGGACTACATCAAACCAAAAAGCTTCTGCACAGCAAAGGAACAAGACCAAAAGGCAGCCTATGGGATGGGAGAAAATATTTGCAAATCCTGTATCTGATGAGGGGTTAATATCCAAAATATATAGGGAACTGCTATCCCTCAATAACAGAAAACCAAATAACTCAATCCAAAAGTGGTAGAAGGATTTGAACAGAGATTCCTTTGGAGAAGACGGACAAATAATTAATAGGTACGTGAAAAGGTGCCCATGTCACCAATCATCAGGGAAATACAAATCAAAACCATAATGAGAGATGCCTTCACGCACACCTGTACAAATGGCTATTATTAAAGAAAACCGAAAAAAGGTAGCGCGTGTTGGCCAGGATGTGGGGGAAAGGGAACCCTTGTGCTGTTGGGAGGGATGGAAGTGGCACAGCAGATATAGAAAACATTATAGAGGTTCCTCGACAAGCTAAAAACAGAACTACCATATGATCCAGCAATCCCACTACTGGGGACGTATCCAGAGAAAATGCGATCGGGATCTCCAAGAGGTGTCTGCACTCCCATGTTCATTGCAGTTGTGTTCACAGTAGCCAAGATATGGAAACAACCTAAGAGTCTTTGGTCAGATGAACGAATAAAGAGAATGTGGTATATAAACACAGTGGGATATTATTAAGTCTTTACAAAAAAAGGAAGCCAGCCTTATTTGACCGCGTGCATGACCCTGGAGGACTTTATGCTATGTGAAATAAGCCACGCAGATAAATTCTGCCTGATTCTACTTGTATGTGGAATCTAAAATAGTCACACCCACGGGAGCAGAGAGTGGAGGGGTGGCTGCAGGGGCTGGGGGGAGGGGAGCTGCTGTTCAACGTGTATAAAGTTTCAGTTATGCCAGAAGAGTAAGTTCCAGAGATCTGCTCTACAGCCTTGTACCTAGAGTTAA